CCATTCTCTGATATATTTCTTTATAATTGCATGAAATTTAAAATCTTTTTTCAACATATTATAGCTAAATCTGTAGAATATGGAATTGCTTGATCAACTATATATAAATCCGAAATTAGCACTCAATGTGAACTTAATCAAATGGAAAGTCTGATCCCTATTGAAAATTATATTTCATGTCTTTAAATTTTGACGATTTTTTCCAAAACTACAAAAGGTAGAAAGAAACAGAAATAATCAAATTAAAGCTAAAACTATAGAGAATCGAAAAAAGAAAGTTTCATTTTCATATTTTTTAAAAATAAAGCTATGAACTTAATCAAATGGAAAGTCTGATCGTGTCTTTAAATTTTGATTAATATTTCCAAAAGTACAAAAGGTAGAATGAAACCGAAATAATCAAATTAAAGCTAAAACTATAGAGAATCCAAAGAATGAAATTAAATTTTTGTATTTTTTAAAATAAAGCTATAATTCACCATCTAATTATAACTTACCATTCTCTGATATATTTCTCTATAATTGCATGAAATTTAAAATCCTTTTTTCACAATATTAAAGCTAAATTTATAGAATATGCAAATGTTTGATCAATTATATATAAATCTGAAATTAGCACTCAAAATTCAACTTAATGTGAACTTAATCAAATGGAAAATCTGATCCATATTGAAAATTATATATCATGTCTTTAAATTTTGACGAATTTTTCCAAATCTACAAAAGGTAGAAAAGGTTTGGAATCCAAAGAAGGAAGTTTCAATTTTGTATTATTTAAAATAAAGCTATAATTCACCATCTAATTATAACTTACCATTCTCTGATATATTTCTTTATAATTGCATAAAATTTAAAATCCTTTTTTCAGCATATTATAGCTAAATCTATAGAATATGCAAATGCACGATCAACTATATATAAATCCGAAATTGGCACTAAAAATTCAATTTAATGTGTACTTAATCAAATGGAAAGCCTCATCCCTATTAAAAAATATATATCATGTCTTTAAATTTTGACGATTTTATCCAAAACTACAAAAGGTAGAATGAAACCGATATAATCAAATTAAAGCTAAAACTATAGAGAATCCAAAGAATGAAATTGTATTTTTGTATTTTTTAAAATGAAGCTACAATTCACCATCTAATTATAACTTACCATTCTCTATAATTGCATGAAATTTAAAATCCTTTTTTTCAGCATATTAAAGCTAAATCTATAGAATATGCAAATGCTTGATCAACTATATATATATCCGAAATTAGCACTCAAAATTCAACTTAATGTGAACTTAATCAAATGGAAAGTCTGATTCCTATTGAAAATTATATTTCATGTCTTTAAATTTTGACGAATTTTTCTAAAACTACAAAAGGTAGAATGAAACGGAAATAATCAAATTAAAGCTAAAACTATAGAGAATCCAAAGAAGAAAGTTTCATTTTTGTATTATTTAAAATAAAGCTATAATTCACCATCTAATTATAACTTAACATTCTCTGATATATTTCTTTATAATTGCATGAAATTTAAAATCCCTTTTTCAGCATATTAAAGCTAAATCTATAGAATATGCAAATGTTCAATCAACTATATATAAATCCGAAATTAAAACTTAATGTGAACTTAATCAAATGGAAAATCTGATCTATATTGAAAATTATATTTCATGTCTTTAAATTTTGACGAATTTTTCTAAAACTACAAAAGGTAAAATGAAACAGAAATAATCAAATTAAAGCTAAAACTATAGAGAATCCAAAGAAGAAAGTTTTATTTTTGTATTTTTTAAAATAAAGCTATAATTCACAATCTAATTATAACTTAGCATTCTCTGATATATTTCTCTATAATTGCATGAAATTAAAAATCCTTTTTTTCAGAATATTAAAGCTAAATGTATAGAATATGCAAATTCTCGATCAACTATATATAAATCCGAAATTAGCACTCAAAATTCAATTTAATGTGAACTTAATCAAATTGAAAGTCTGATCCATAGTGAAAATTATATAACATGTCTTTAAATTTTGACGAATTTTTCCAAAACTACAAAAGGTAGAAAGAAACCGAAATAATCAAATTAAAGCTAAAACTACAGAGAATCGAAAGAAAAAAGTTTCATTTTTATATTTTTTAAAATAAAGGTATAATTCACCATCTAATTATAACTTACCATTCTCTGATATATTTCTTTATAATTGCATGAAATTTAAAATCCTTTTTTTCAGCATATTAGAGCTAAATCTATAGAATATGCAAATAAATCCGAAATTAGCACTCAAAATTCAACTTAATCTGAACTTAATCAAATGGAACATCTGATCCATATTGAAAATTATATATCATGTCTTTAAATTTTGACGAATTTTTCCGAAACTACAAAAGGTAGAATGAAACCCAAATAATCAAATTAAAGCTAAAACTATAGAGAATCCAAAGAAGAAAGTTTCATTTTTATATTTTTTAAAATAAAGCTATAATTCACAATCTAATTATAACTTACCATTCTCTGATATATTTCTTTATAATTGCATGACATTTAAAATCCTTTTTTCAGCATATTAAAGCTAAATCTATAGAATATGCAAATGCTTGATCAAATATATATAAATCCGAAATTAGCTCTAAAAATTCAACTTAATGTGAACTTAATCAAATGGAAAATCTGAACCATATTGAAAATTATATATCATGTCTTTAAATTTTGACGATTTTTTCCAAAACTACAAAAAGTAGAATGAAACAGAAATAATCAAATTAAAGCTAAAACTATAGAGAATCCAAATAATGAAATTGTATTTTTTAAAATAAAGCTATAATTCACAATCTAATTATAACTTACCATTCTCCGATATATTTCTCTATAATTGCATGAAATTTAAAATCCTTTTTTCAGCATATCAAAGCTAAATCTATAGAATATGCAAATGCTCGATCAACTATATATAAATCCGAAATTAGCACTCAAAATTCAATTTAATATGAACTTAATCAAATGGAAAATCTGATCCATATTGAAAATTATATATCATGTCTTTAAATTTTGACGAATTTTTCCCAAACTACATAAGGTAGAATGAAACCAAAATAATCAAATTAAAGCTAAAACTATAGAGAATCCAAAGAATGAAATTATATTTTTGTATTTTTTAAAATAAAGCTATAATTCACAATCTAATTATAACTTACCATTCTCTGATATATTTCTCTATAATTTCTCTATAATTGCATGAAATTTAAAATCCTTTTTTCAGCATATTAAAGCTAAATCTATAGAATATGCAAATGCTTGATCAAATATATATAAATCCGAAATTAGCTCTAAAAATTCAACTTAATGTGAACTTAATCAAATGGAAAATCTGAACCATATTGAAAATTATATATCATGTCTTTAAATTTTGACGAATTTTTCCAAAACTACAAAAGGTAGAATGAAATCAAAATAATCAAATTAAACCTAAAACTGTAGAGAATCCAAAGAAGATAGTTTCATTTTTGTATTTTATAAAATAAAGCTATAATTCACAATTTAATTATAACTTACCATTCTCCGATATATTTCTCTATAATTGCATGAAATTTAAAATCCTTTTTTTCGCATATTATACCTAAATCTATAAAATATGCAAATGCTTGATCAACTATATATAAATCCGAAATTAGAAATCAAAATTTAATTTAATGTGAACTTTATCAAATGGAAAGTCTTATCCATATTGAAAATTATATATCATGTCTTTAAATTTTGACGAATTTTTCCAAAATTACAAAAGGTAGAATGAAACCGAAATAATCAAATTAAAGCTAAAACTATAGAGAATCCAAAGAAGAAAGTTTCATTTTTATATTTTTTAAAATAAAGCTATAATTCACAATCTAATTATAAAATTATAACTTACCATTTTCTGATATATTTCTCTATAATTGCATGAAATTTAAAATGCTAAATCTATAGAATATGCAAATGCTTGATCAACTATATTAAATCCGAAATTAGCACTCAAAATTCAAATTTTCCATCAGAGTGAAATCAATTTGCATTAGCGCTCCATTAAATTATATAATTGCATGTTTATATACGTCGACAAAGCCGTTAAAATTTGACCTGATAAAGGTGAATAAACAAAAATTACGACGGAATTATTTATAACGTCGAATATCAAACGTGAAATATATGTTTTCGCGAATATTCCATTAAACACTAAATTAATAAACGATGCATTTAGCAGCTTTTCGGCGTTCCGGAATTTATTGCGACGTATTTTGAGGCGAAAAATTCAATAATAATTCGGACACAATGAAAATAAAATATAATTATATTTGGTGACACGTAAATCAACTAATTGGATTTACAGTAAATAATGAACATATAAACAGTGGGCTTTAATTAGTATTTTGTTTATATTGTTTTGTTATTTTTCAAATTCAATTGTTTTTCTTTCAATTGTCAATGCAGATGCACGACTAATTTGATTAAAGATATTTCTTAATTGAAAATCATTAATTAATAAAGTGTAAATTCGGTTTATTTCTATTTTCAACGTTTATTGATTTTTACGCAAAATTTATGTCCACAAACAGCAAACAGCTGACGGCGATATTTCAATCCGGATTTTGACGTTTATGTCTCTGCTCTTTGCGCGATTCGTTTGTTCCATATTTCCATTATTATTTTGTTTTTTTTTTTGCTGTTTTGTCGTGCATCCGTTTGCGTTGATTTTGTTTTTGTTTGACGTTATTTCGAAACGGAATAAATTGGAAAAACGTAACTCTTTTCCCCAGCATCTAAACCAATATTGTTTTAATTTCCCTTCACTCCGAACCCGAATGTTTCATATCGAAAACGAATCCACGCGCGCGCGAGTTTTCCGTGTTTCCAATATCATCCAGTTTTTCCGTTACTCCTTCTAGCAGATTTTCCACGAAGAGTTTTCTTTGAGAAAATCCAATTTTTCTGCAGCTTTACGAACGATATCTTGAAATATCTAATGTATAATAACAAAACTATCTTCAGATTCATTAAATATCTTTAGAGTTGAAAATATTTCTCTAAAACTATGTTTGCGATTTTTTTGTTATTTTTTAGCCAAGTTGGCGTGACTCAGTATTTCATTCAATTTCTCTGCATCTACAAATACTAAATTGATTATTTAATATGTATATTAAAGCTAATACTATATAGTTTGCAATGTCTTATAAAGTTTCTTGGTTTTCGGATATTTTGTTTATGTAATTACTAATTAAAGTTGATGTAATTTTGTTGTTGTTTGAACTAGGTGAAGATGGTTTCGCAAGGAGCGCAAACTAATGGAATGGTGATCAACGGTAGGAAATTGACTAAATCGTTCAGCGAGGCTGGAAGCAAGTTCGAGGTTGCGGAACCGATGGATCATGAACCTCTTCAGAGAACTTTATCCGATGAACCGCCGAGGTCGCCTTTCGTTTTGGCCTCTCCGCCACCGGATTTGGTGCCTCCACTGCCGGCACTGAGTGATTCCTCTTCGATCACAAGAAGCGAACACGACTCGGAGGAATCGGAATCCAAGAAAGAGATCTTCATCGATTTCAAACCGCAGATTTCCGTGGGGAAAAAAGTTCTGACGAAAACCGCATCGGACGGCGAAATCTTGCTCGATCAGAGGAAGATACAGGGGGCCGCTGAAGTGCCTCAAACTTCGATCAGCCACGACAATATTCTGGCCGTCGAGGACGATTCGAACATCGAGTACGCTTCGTACTTTAAGAGCACTCCGATTAGGCACGAGGGAATCTTCAAAGATCTGGACGATCACGTTTTCTCTTCGATTGATGAATCTTACGAGGGAAACGGCGGTTTATACCCGCAGGATTCGATCGATGAGGTCTTCCACGAGAACTACATCTACGATGGGAAATATCTGAAGGTGGAGGGATCGACGACGACGAGCGAGGATCAGGAGGTGCGAAAGTCCGAAGAGGCGCCGGAAGATGAGGGCGTCGTTCCGTCGTTCTACATAGACAAATCGCCGTTCGCGTCCAGCGACTCGTTAGCTAATGATTTAAGGTCAGTAGTGCCTATAGTACACACGACACCCATCAAAATGCCACCGCCATCTCCCGGGACCCCAATCAATTTACACGAAACAAACGACAAGAACAACAACAACAACAACCACGACCTTCTTGATCCATGCAAATTACACCCGACAACCTGAACACTCCCTCGGCGACGCCCAATTCAAATTTAAACAATCCACCGATTAATTACGCACACTTAACCACAGACAAGCAAGGATACAACTAAGAAAATTGTGTTTTTTTCTCTTTCATACCGTCTCGAGTTATTAAAACTTTCGCAGCTTTGATCTTCGCAATAATACAAAAAAAAAAACAAGACACACTTTCTTGTGAAACTTCTCACGCAATTCCAAAGTAAAAATTAACATTCCTTCGCTTTGTACGTAAGAAAACGGCTGCAACGTATGAAATTAATATCGGACTAATTGATATTGCTTTGTGCTTGTGTATTAATATTCTGCATATTGCTGTAATACGTGTTCAAAGTTGAATAATTGAAATGAGAACGTTCGAAAAAGCAGTGTTTTCACATTTCATTGATTTACTTGATAACTATATAGGATAGAATGAATCCAATATATGCATATGAATGCTGAATGTTTGGGGAATCCAGC